TTCACAAAGAGAAGAAGTGTTGGCCATGCCACACCCTGTCCTCAGCCAAGTCGAGTGGAGACCCACCAAGCCTTGTTTAGAGACAGGTGCTGGGTGGGTGGCCAGGCTCGCTCATCAGCAAGCACGCACTTCCCTGCCCCTGGGCCAGAGGTACACAGAACAAACCTTGTCCTCTCACAAAGTCAAAATTGTGACATCAAGTGTGCCCTCAAATATTTGTGCTGGAGAAGGCCATGCTGCTAATGGGTCTCCTGGGATAATAAGGAAGCTGTGGTGGATTATAAACCTTTAGCTTGCTGTCCAAGCGGACATTTTGCCTGGAGTTCATGCCCTTTCATAGGTTCCTGAAGTGCCTACACCAGTCTTGGTCAAAGGGATGGCTTTAAGGCCTGGTATGATAAGCACCAGGCCTTCAGGAAGTCTGACAAGCTAGCTACTGTGTGGAGACACTCTAGAACGAAACAGTTCTCGGGGAAGGACAGAGGTGCCTGGTTGAGTGACCCACTGAACACAGCCACCAGAGTAGCAACAGGAGTGGCAGAAGAATCCTTCCTGCCCACCCCCAGGATCCTGAGGAAGAATACATGAATGTTGTGGCAAGCTTCACAAGTTGGAAGCCGTCTGTTACACAGCCATGGACAAAGGGAACAAAGGCATGCACACAACATACATACCATAGCGTGGGAAAATACAAAGAAAACATACACAGTGAATAAATCAAGCCTGTGCCTGTAGAGCAACCAGAATAGAAGCCATTTTAAAAGTATGGACTGGGGAGGCAGAGGCAGGAGGATCTCTGTGAGTTCAAGGCCAGCCTGGTCTGCAAAACAAGTTCCAAGATAGTCAGGGCAGTTACACAGAGAAACCCTGTCTTGAAAAACCAAAAAGAAAGCATGATGGCTCCTGTATGTAGTTGAAGCAGTTGAGATGTTAAGGCAGGAGGATTATAGTGAGTTCAAGGATGCATAGGTCACATAAGAAGACCCTGACTCAGGCTTGGGGGACACAAAAACAAAATTATAAAAAGTATTGTCTGGGGCAGACTTGACGGTTCATTGGGTAAACTGTTTGCCATGAGGGCCTGTCCACCTGAGTTCAGTCTCTGGAAGATAGAGGGAGAAAACCACCTCTACAAAGTTAACTTCTAATCTCCTCATGTGTGCCACAGCCTGTCCTTACACATTCCATAATAATAAAGTATAAGCTTTTGTTTATTTATTTTTAGTTTTATGTATGTACTCCTGGCTGGCCTAGAACTTCCTATGTAGATCAGGCTGGCCTTGAACTCACAGAGATGATTCACCTGCCACGTGCCATCACACACAGCATAAATCTTTTTAAGAACATAAAGTTAATATGCTCGACAGGTTACTTCTTGTGACATTTGTTTTTGTTTTTCGGACAGGCTCTCTTTCCGTTCAGGCTGGCCTGAGTAAGCTGTGGGGGACCTGGGATTCCCAATCTTTCTGCTGCTTCCAGCTCCGAGCACTGTGGTTTCTGCATCAGCTCCATTGGGCTCTCTTAGGTACAGATTTTCAGAGAGCTGTGAGTGAGCCCAGCGACACTGCTGTTTCAGCGCTGGGGCCTGATCAGCACAGAGAGAGCTTGATTTCAGGATGCTCTTCAGCGACAGCGTGAGTTCCAGATCCGCCTGGGCCACGTAGGACCCTGTCTCACCAGAACTAATCAACACAGGTGTCAGGGTGTCGTTTCGTAAAACTCGGGTATGAATGGGGTCTGAGGGTGCGCGCCTGTAATGCCAGCACTCAGGAAGTGGAGGCAGGAAGGTCAGGGTCAAGAGGTGGAGACCAGTGTGAACTACGTGAGACTCTGTCTCCAAAAAAAAAAAAAAAAAAAATTGTTCAATGTGACTTCTGTTCTCAGAATTTCTAGTCCTTGGGAAGTGCAGTGCCAGGCGGCTCAAGGCAGAAGCCGACAGTTTCCAGAGGAGAGAGTTTTGAATGGACATTGTAGAGCTAGCTGAAGTAGAGTGACTTTCAAAGGACCATGACATCATCTTTCTATAGACTGGTGCTTGGAGGTGAGAAAAAAAATTATATCCCCAAACAAAAGGAGTGCGTGTGCGCGTGTGTGTGTGTGTGTGTGCGTGCGTGTGTGTGTGTGTGTGTGTGTGTGTGTTAATCCAGCCTCAGGGAGAAAAGCATTATGTCATTACATATAATAATATATAATAATAACGACAAAAGAAAACTGCCATCAGAGCCTCTATGACTCGGTTTCATTCCAGCTCTGGAGCCTCTCTGGGACTCTGGGGGCAAGTTCAGTACTCTCTTAGCTCAGCTCCAGACTAAACCACACTGTGGTTGTCTTTGGCAAATCGGGGACAATGAGATCTGCAGAGCTGGTATGCCTAAGGCCGACAGAGCTTTGTGGGTTGAAGTATACACTATGTAAAGCCTAGGCAAAATTAAGAAAATTACAGCGTGGGTATGACTGTACAGGAGGGCATGGCATCTTCGAAAGACTTGAAAGAAGAAAATAAACAACTATCTTGCCAACACGAGCTATTTTAAGAACATATACCATAGTGGCATACTGCATGTATGCCAACACTTGTGAGGCCGAGGCAGGAAGATCTCTTGTTCAAGACCAGTCTGGGCGACATAGCAAGACCATGTCTCAAAACCAGCAAGACTAAAACCAAAACATCAACAACACCAAAAAAAAGGACAAAAACTTTATCTCTATTATTCCAAATTCTCTGCTAGCTCCACCTCATGCTCATATGTTTTAAAACTCCTGTAAAACCGCTGGACACGGGATGGAACGGGACAGATGGACTAGGAACGTGTTGATCACACTGCGTATTTCAGTTAGCAATGTTGCTTCTGGTTCCTGAGACGAAGGAATAACTGCACATGCCACTGTTCCAGAACGTGTTGACCCCGGGCCTGCGCTAATCACTGCTCCTTACACAGCCATTTAGTTCCAGAGCTAGCTGTCTGAAAGGGGGCAGTGGTATTCCTGAGAACAGAGCCCGGGGCTTCTGCAGAGAGCTCCGGAGCCAGGATCTTGTTTAATGTACTTATTTAGGGCAAAGAGCATTGCGTTTGCAACACTTCTGGCTTCCTTTACAGATGAGGTGCTGAGTCATGACTGTGAGTTATTCCTGTAATGAGCTTTCTAGATTTCCCAAGGCTCCTTTTATATCTCAGATTTCCTTACTGTGAGGAAACGGGTCTATCGCAACGGGTACGGAGACCCCAGCAGGGGCAGGTGGGGCTGCTACAGAACGGAACCGTGAAACAGACCTGCCCTTCCTCTTCGCCCAGCACTGCTCACAAAATGGGAAGGTGGCCCAGCTCCTCCCCTGGGAAAGGCGTGTCCGGCTGCATGGTGGGGTCATTTGTCTTCCAGGCTGGCCCCATCAGCGGCTCTCTTAGTCCTAATTGGAACTCTCTGTCCCTGCTGCTCTGTGGCCAGGCCCCCATGACCTCAATTAGGAAAGGCGCTCTTCCTTCCTCTGGCTGGCCACGCAGTTTTGCTGCCAGCTCTCTGCTTTGCAGGCAGAGGCAGGGGCGAGGGAGGGAGCGAGGCCCGGTTGCCCACAACAGTGTCATTGGACATCAGAGGGTGTGGTCTGGACAAGAGCTCACAGTTCGGGGTCAAGGGATTGCTGAAGCTCTCGTGAGTGACAAGGGACAAAAAAAATTCTTTGATGTTGGAATGCAGATTGCCTGGGTGACCTTTGTAAATCTGTATTCAGAGGACCCCACCCCCCAGGGCCCTACAAAATAAGGGCCATTGCAGAATCACATCTTGGGAAGGACGATAGAACAGATTCCTCAGTGGTTGTCTCCTGACCTCCGTACCTGCTGCTGGTGAGGCCTTGTGGCTTTTCTGCATCTCAGTTCAGTAGTTTTTAGACAGGGTGAGGTACAGTAAGAGAAATAAGACAAATACCTGTCCTGTGGTGAGCTCCCTGTGCAGCCACTGGGCTGGGGACACAGTTTGGTGGTAGAGGGCTTGTCTAACATCAGTGAGACCCTTGGTTTGATCTCCAGCACTGTCAACAACAACTCCTAACACTCCCAGTAGGACACTGGGAGAGCTGTGAAATCTTTTCCTTAGTTCTACGCAGGGAACAACAGCAGCTTGTCCCTTTATAATCCAACAGCAGTACCTGTCTCATCCCTGCCTAGACAAAGGCCTTGGCCCAGCTGGATGGCCCAAAGGACACAGACCTTCCGTATCTGTGGTCTCTGTCCTAGAATGATGGTCCATCCAAATTCAACCGAGTTTCCCTGGCGTGGGCAGGAATGGGAGAGAGAAGGCTGCCTAGGGTTTCAGGTACCACACAAACAGGCAGGATACTGGCAGCTCCCTATCAGGTCAGTGTTGCCATTCAGAACGACTTAGGAAAATTCTGAGAGAGGTCTCCAGTGAGTAAGTGGTCGATACACAGGGGTCACAGAGGCTGCAGGAGGAAGTGCATTTGCTAGGGAGCCCCACCTTTTACAGCCCTTGGCCAGAGGTTCAGAAGTGCCACTCAGAAGATAAATGTTAGGGCTGGGGATGAAGCTCGGTTGGCAGAGTCCTTGCCTAGCATGCACGAAGCCCTGGGTTTGATTCCCAGCACTGCACCACAAGAAGGACAGACACTCCAGGGGTAGGGGCAGGAGAATCAGTTCAAGAACTGTCTCAGAAAGGCACACACAGGCGCGCGCGCGCACACACACACACACACACACACACACACATTCAGTCAATGTTAAGAGGAAGGGGGGAGCGCAAAGGAAGCTCAAGAGGGGGATACTGAGACCGTACAGCTCTGTGCCGGGCCTCCTAGACAGTGGTCAGCCTAGAACCTCAAGCAGAGGCCCCAGCTCCTGGCTCCTTCCCATGTCCTGAATCAGAACCACGCGGGGAGTTAGTGAGAAGCTCCCCAGCTTCTGCTCTAGGTGGCAAAGTCCAGGCACCTCTGAGTTCCAGTCCCCACCCTGACCCCAGGGCCGTACATTTATGCACCTGGGAAAGAAGCCACATCGGGGCCTGTCTGACTCACATTACGGTAACAGGATGCATTTTGTGGGACTCTGGATGAGGGGAAAGCAGGTGGGGACCAGTCTCTGAATGTTTCCTGTCTCACGATGGCTATCAGTGTCCATGTGCGTGTGCCACACAGGACAAACTGAAGAAGGAGGGGTGGCTTCACAGCCTGGGTGCTCAGGGAGGGTCCTGAGTGCCCTCCTGCCTACAGCTTGGCTCAGAGGAGGGCCATGCTGCCTCAGTCAAGGAGGCTCCACCCAAACAGGAATATGCTTGGCACACTGACACGTTTGAGCCAGGAGTTTGCTATGGGGTCTGCTTCTAGCATGCTTCGTGTACCCAGAACAAGGAAACGGTCCTTCCAGTTCCCTCAAATCCACTCAGCTGGCCTCTTCTGGGCCTTGAAACCCCTAGACAAACGTGACATTGGGGTGATGTGAGAGGCGAGGGCTAGGGACAGTTATGTGTGTGTGTGTGTGTGTGTGTGTGTGTGTGTGGTCGCTAGTGTGCCAGACAGGAGTCAACCACTGCATGCCCAAGGGTGGATAGGCAGAGAGGGGCTGATAAAGGTGGGGTCAGGGTGTGGCAGAGGCTAACGCAGAACCCCAGACTCGTGGCAGACTACTGTAGCTTCCAACACCTGGAGACCTGAAACCAGAGACAACACAAGGTTGCTGAGAACTGTGTGCTGCCCTTTGTGACCTACAACTGCCCTTGGAAACCCCTCCTGCAGTTGGAGAAATAAACCACGGCCTCCCCCTTTTCTGCCTTCCCCACATAAGATAGCCCAATAGGATTCCTTTGGCTGCCCTCACAGGGAACAAAAGTCTCAGCTAGCTTGTGTTTAAGTGGTTTTTGTCTTTGAAGTTTAAAGATAACTCTAAAAATAATTGCATCTGAATGTCCTGAGAGCCAAAAATGATCGTTCCCAAACACTCCACTTCTCGCTGACTCTGCCCACCCCTGTAATTTGGGGACTGGATGGCTGTCCCCAGGCACATGCTCTCCTACCCTGATGTCACCCAAAAAACCCGCACACAGCCAAACCCTCTGTGCAGGAAAGCCCCTGGAGTGGGCTCAGCGTGCGGCCTCTGAATCACGCATTCCACCTGCTGCAACTCAGAACTCCGTCAGCGCCCCTTCTTCGGACCTCTTTGTAGAAAGAAATCCACTGAAGGAAAGCATCCGTGTTTACAAACTGCCTAAAGGTGAGGACAAACAGTCTTCTCATTCCAAGTATGAAATGGGAAAAGGGAGTTTCGCTTTCACAAAACCAAATGCGCAGCTCCCAACTGAACCCACCAAAAAAATGCAGTTTGCTTTGTAACCAGACCGAGGAAACCAGGCTGAGGCTAGCCCACGTCCAGATCTGAGCTTTAGGGACCAGCCTCTTCCTGCCCTCGAGGAGTTAAAACATCTAAAAGAAAGTTACATTTAGTTACTATAGTGGCTCACACCTGTAATCCCAGCCGCTGGGGGCTGAGGCAAAAGGATTGCTGCAAGTTCAAGGCCAGCCTGGGCTACAGTGGGAGACCCCGCCTCAAAAACAAGCACCAGCAAAGAGCAAAAGATCAAAATTATTGGATACTTCCTAGTTTTATGATCTTAGACCGATTGTTTCATCAGGACTGATGATGCTGTTGTTCGTTGTTTGTTTTAGGGCTTTGCTAGGATTAAGCAAACCCACCACTAGAAAGCACTATGCCACGTGTAGCACTCCAGAAAAAAAAAAAAATCATGTGTGTCACCTTATTTTCAGGTGAGGCCGGAGAGAGAAAGACACTTTCCCCGAGGAAACTGTAGCTTTGGAGACTAAGGCTGTGACCCTTCCTCCTTGCCCAGGGACAGTCAGCTGTGGGGCAAGCGCCAGCTGAGGGAGCCCGATTTCCTGATCTTTGTTCCCAGATGTCCCCAGCACTCTCTAAGTCCTACCTCCCTCCTCCAAGTACCAGGCGCCCGGACTGGTCTGCGGGCACGTGGTGAGGGAAAGTGGCCCTGGGGTGAGTCCAGCTGATCATAACTCTCCCAGCTCCTTCCCAGACATTTGCAGCCATTTCTGTGCTTGGGGCTCGGTGGCGGAGCATTTGCTTAGCATCCCCAAGGTCCCCCGTTTGATCCCCAGGACTCGGTGTCAGGGACATCACAAAATCATAAGCTGCAAGTCCTTCCTAGATACTTCTCACTGCACTGTGATCCAGCTCGTACTCCCCAGTGTTCAACAGAGAGGAAGGGACTCTTGGAAGCCCTGAGCCGATTGGAACCCTTGTCTGGCCTGCGATGCCAGACGGCTGGGGAGCAAGATCGGTTCTGATGAATCTGAATCTCTGAGCACAGCGAGCAGAGCAGAAGGCTTTTCCCAGTTGGTTTCCGGGTTCTAGGGAAAAAAAAAAAAACTGGATCCCACTCCCATCAGTAAGATTAGACGGTCTCCTGGAAGAGGTGCGCCCCCTACAGGGCTCACAGGGAGGAAGGGGAGGTGGCTCGCGTTGTAAACGCAGGGCAGTTGAGGACCCTCTGACGGGGAGATAAAAATAGAAATAAAGGCAGCTGTCTATAATCTCTGCTTTTGGGAGGCAGTGGAAGGAGGTCCAGAGCCTAAAGACATTTTCAGCTATTTAGGGAGTTTGAGGCTGGTTTGAGGCTATGTGAGGCTCCGTCTCAGGGAAAAAAGAAGAAATGGCCCACCCCAGCTGCAGAACGCCTGTGTGAAAAGTCACTCCGCAAGGAGGAAGCACAACCATGTCAAGGACCTAGCGCTGGCCGGGGCCACAGTAGACACGCAACAATGCTTGCCCAAATGCAAAATGCTGCTCTCCTTCCACACTGGGGAGGGGAGGCGGAAAGAAGTCTTTCTCAGTGGTCAGTCTCGGTGGTCAGTCCTTGGTGGTCAGTCCTTGGAGCAGTGGTGCCTCAAGCTGATTTTGGAGATAACCACAGCGAAGCCCCACCTCTCCTTCTAGCCACACATTTGCATGAAGGACTGGGAGGTGGATATGGGGGAGGAAAGGGGAAAACTCTTCACGTTGAGCCTGGGGGTGCGCGCCAAACTGGAATTTGCCCAGAGCAAGCCGAGAACGAGGAACGTGCAGCCAGGACCTTTGTCCGTATCTATTCTCATTTAATCTCACCACCAACTTTGTCAATGTCTTGTTTTTATATGCAGGGTAGGGAGTGAGATTGAACCCGGGCCCCGTGCATGCTGAGCTGGGGTTTTATAACCCAGGCACGTCTCTGTTTCCCAACTTTGTGAGGTATGTCTTTAAGACTGATTGGGGAAACTGAGCCATGGAGCATTCGCTTTATTTTCACTGCTGCTGTGTAGAGACCATGTCTTGCTTTGTTGTCCAAGACGGTCCCAAATCCCTAGGTTCAAAGCAAACCTCGTGCCTTAGTCTTCCAAGCACTTAGACTATAGGTGTGCACCCTTGAGCCCCAGTGGGAGTTCATTTGATTGCCCAGAATCACACAGCTCCCTAATAGGTGTAAGATTTCTCCCCGCTGAGGATTGTTCATGAGCGTCTGCAATTTGTGTGCGTCTTCTGGGTGAACGGATGCAGGCGGCCTGGGGGCTGTGGCTCAAGGAATTGCGTGGGTCAAGGTTTTCTTGGTGAATAAGCAGGGCCAGGACCCGTCACAAATGGGTCAAGGTATAGTCACTGGGTCCTCGTCCACAAAGTTAGTGGGGGTCCCAAGCCTTGGGTTCCAGATTGGGTGGCTTTGCTTTCGGCCTTCCCAGTTGACAGCCCTAGAAAATTCCCTGCCTCTGCCATGCGCCACACAGCTCTGTGTAATTTCCTTTGTGGGTCAGTCCTCCTCAGAGGGCTATGATGAGGCCATGACTCAAACCTTGGTCTGACATCCACAAGCCACCAGTTGCCTGGCTTCCAGCTGGCTCAGAGGATGTGAGGCAGGAGTAGCTGCCCACTGACTCTCCTGCTCCACTTCCAGATACGGACAGACGTTCACTCTGGATCCGAAGCTTGTCAGGTTCTGGAGTATGACCTCAGCCCGTGTCCAACAAGACAGTCCCGGTCCTCTCTAGAGTCCAGCTTCAAGTTCCTTCAGCAAGCTGTTGGAGCTGGGCCCCATGTCTGCATTCCCAAGTAAGAACACTCTCCACTTTCCTGCCCATCCAAAAAGACCCACAGAGCAGCTTGCTTGTGCTTTTATTTTTTATTTCTTTACTTTATTTTATATTGGTTTTCTGAGACAAAGTCTCTCTATATAATAGCTCTGGCTGTCCTGGAATTCACTCTGTAGACCAAGCTGGCCTCAAACTCCTGGAGATGGAGATCCTCCTGCCTCTGCCTCTTGAATGCTTGGTTTAAAGGCATGCACCACCACCACCCGACTTGCTGCTGCTTTTAATGATGCTTTGCTTAGATGGAACTGTACACCATCCGGCGCTTACCTTGAGCTCATGTTAGAGAACCTGTCCAACACAGAGAGGCCCTACAACTCAGCGGCTAACTGCCACCTTCAGAAACAAACTGGTGGCTCCCTGATTCTGAATTGACACTGCTCACTCAAGAGTCCCTCAGGGTGGGGAGGCACAAACCAGGAGCCAGTCATACTTCTGGGCAATTTGAAGTCACGTGCTGTGTGTCACCGAGGTCATGACTCAGCCCAGGCTCTTTAGTAAAGGGTGAAACTGCTGGGTAGGCACTTTTTAAAGGGCAGCTTAGGCGGGCGCTTCCCGACGGCAAGTGCGGTGGGGTTCCATAGCCCCCACCCCTAGGAGTTTCATACCCGGTTTGGTGATGGAATGAACAACAGAGAAGAGGCAGCAAGACTGGTTTAGACTAGCAGAGCTGACACCACTCCAGGCAGGAGAGCTGCGGTTCTGGGGTGGCTTCTGGGAGGGGCCTGGCTCTCAGAGGTGTGGGGCTGTCTGCCTCCTTCCAAGAGGAAAGAACTATTCCTGTAGCTAGGTCTTTTCTGGAATAATAAATAGCTGTGTCGGCTGAGGCCCTGGAAAGAGTTATTTGTATTATTGTGCCCTTTAAAAAAAAAAAAAAAGCGTGATGACAGCAAATATCCAGGTGAAGCCAGCATGACCAGGCAAGATGAAGGAGCAGCCACGCATGGACCTCGGTCAAGCTGCACCCGGTCAAGCTGTCCGTGATCAAGCTGTGCTCAAAGACTGGGTGGAGGCCACTGCAGGCTTTGGGTTGTAGCACCTCCTCCCTCTTCCTTCCTTGGGCGCTCTGTTGGGCGGGGCACTATGGCTGGAATACCTGCCTGCCACCGGTCACAGAGAGCAGGAGCAGACCCCTCAGGCTCCAGTTGGCGTTGTATTTTTTGTATTTTCCCTTTTCTTTCTCTTCTTAGTAAGTCACATTTCATAATGGTCAGCCTGGTGGGTGGGAACCGGAACCAGAGAGGCTGTGGTACCTGGTAGACTCCCAGGGGAGCAGATGGCTTGGCAGCTAGGACTGGGTGAAGAACCCAGGTGGCAGACAGACCACCTCTCCAGGTTCTACCTGGGAGATATCAGAAGAGGGTGGAGACCAAGGGTTGGGTCTCTAAAGGGACAAGGGTGATAAAGACGTGAGCAGATGAATCAGGCTGGTTACACGAATGGCCAGCACCAGAGCTGAGCAGATTACTAAGCAAGTGTGCTGTGTCCCCAGGACAGGTGGTCCCTGCGCCCCCAGCTGGATGGCTTCTCCCCGTGGCGCCCCCAATGAGCATTCACACCATAATCAATAAAAGCTCTTTAGTCAAAACAGCCTTCAGGGGCTGCTGTCTCTAAAAGGAAATCAGCACTACATTTTCCCACAAGAAATTCAAAGAATGGTGATTACTCAGAACTCCCACTGCACATTCTTGTGAACATTTGAGAAATTCCCAGTGCCTCCCATTGTCATCAGTCCGGGAAGCCAGGCGTGCACGGTCTCATAGACCGTAGCAACTGAGCTCATAGCAACCGCACAAACTATGATGGAACGTGTGTGCGCACGCGCGTGCGCGTGTGAGCCAGTGCAGGCGCACGTGTATGTGTTTGCACGTGTGTGTGGGTGTGTTACTTCGTTTGATAAGGAAAGGAAATGCAAATAAAGAAGTGATGGCTTCTGGTAATTTTGGGCCTGGAAACTGACGGTCCCTTTCCTCTCAGAGCCTTCCTCTTGAAGCTTTCTTCCTCTGAAGCCGTTTATCAGGACGTTCGGAGACACGAAGCCACTTAGGTAATTAATTCTGTGAGACCTCCTACTTTGGGTATCAAATTAACTTCATACTCGGAGACTCTTGAATGATGAAGGGCCTTTTGGCCACTGGCCTCGTTCCAGGGCAAAGTGAAACTACTGTCATGAAAAAGACCCAGCGAGTCTTGGCAGAAACTGAAACTCCACCAACTAAGTAAGGATAAAGGGCCCATTAAGCCTGCCCCTGGGGCTCCCTGGAGACAGACAGCTCACCTTGGTTTCCTCCAGACCAGGAAGGACGCCTCTGTGGGAGGCTGAAGAATGTTGCAGGTAGACTGTTTCAATTCCTAACGAATCCAAAAGTAAAATAGAAAGGGAGGATGGAGAATAGAAAAGGGAGGGACCCAGACCAGGCGCTGCTCCGTGTCTGGGATGCTCCATGTAGCTGGACCAGCCGGGAGTCCTATCCTAGCTCTCCTGAAAACGCTAGGAGCTGCAAGTTCATAGGCCTGGCTGCACCGTGGATTCCAGGAGGTCTGGACTGGACGCAGTGAGACCAGCTTGAAAGATCAAAACACAAAACAGCAACAACAAAAACCTGGTGCCCACTGCTTAGATTGCTATCTCTCTCCCCCTCCCTCCC